TGTGGCATCAAAATCTACAGTTTCTATAGCATCATTGTCTATTTCTTTAGCAGCTACATGTCAGTGAAATAGATCATTCTCCTGGTTGTATAATCTGATTCAATATGCCCAAATCCGAGGCACTTGAAACACTTCAAGGATGGGATGGATTTGGGGATGTGGTATGGTTCCACCTATTCTCTGCTCTAAACTAGTGTCTCATCGAGTGGGGTTGGCTCGGATGTTCTATCGGGTATACTCTTAATACTTGATCCTGAGGTTGAGCACTGTCTATAAGATGTGTGGTCAAACGGTGATGTTATCTCTCCCCTTTTGAAACTAGGGTCTGAACATCATGCCTGCAAAGAACGGGAAGGTTTTACTGTTGCATCTTTGGTTTCATCTTAGACCTTACAATAATTTACTCTTCTTTTTCGTTGTAGAAGGATCTCTGAGATGCACTCTTTCTTAACTTGGTGGCGACTAGTTTCATCATTACGCCCGATAGGATGTCTTGGCACTCAAAAAGACGTTATAGTGTCTAGAGCTACTCGATGAACTCGTCCGGAGCCATCTGACCATCAAAATATGGCAGATCCAATTTTACTTCAAAATTTTGACTTCTTCAATATTTCATGTCAAAATTTTAAGGATGGTGGGTCTTCATCTCTGCAATCGAATGGAGTTTGTGTGAGCCCTCTGGATGGTCTCCTCTCGAAGGTGGCAAGCCTATATTGTAGTTGGAGGATTTCCCACCACATATCTTCCCTAAAAATCTCTTAGACACCTCTTGTGAATTCCTCATAAGTGGCATTTTATCTTTGAACCTCGATCAAGTTTCTGGGCATTGTCTATTGGGTTGCATGATTAGGGTTTGGGTGTGGGTAGGTGGAAGGAGGTGTGTAGAGGTGATGTAGGGTGGGAAAGAGAAATTTTGAGTGGTCGATTTAGAAAAATCATTAAAGGGGAAGGGTGTTGGGTGGAGATAGGATTGGGTATGGATAGATGCTAGAAATCCAATGATAGGACTAAGGTTAGGAGAGCTATGATACTAAATGATACCGGAGTCAACTAACAACAATGGGAAATGTGAATATTATTAATGAAATCAAATAGAAAAATAACAATAAAAAACAATGAAATTTGAAATTGCAATAAATGATAACACAATCTCAACTAAGGGTAGATTCCAAGAGGTTGGTGGTCGGTTAAGTGGGTTGAAAGGGTCGACATGTGATTGGAGTGGATGTGTTGCGTGCTAGAGGGAGTTGGTAGCAACAATATAGAGGGTTTTGGGTTGGTTGGGAGGGGTGACAACAGGTACGAGTAGCTGGGACAATAGGGTAACGACAACAGTTAGTGGTAGGGACAGTTGGGAATGTTGGGATAGGTAAGGACAACACCTCCTAGTTGCCCTGGGTGGTGGCAACAAATAAGGAACGCTGGGACGACAATGGCAACAAGTACGGGGAACTGCAATAGGCGATGGAGACAAAGATGGAGGGTTGGAACAGCTGCGGAAGCAAAGGTGGAGGGTTGGACAGCAACGGCCGCGAAGAAGGCTGCTGGAATAGTGGGAAAACAAACTATAACAGCTGCGGAAGCAAAGAAGGCTGCTGGAATAGTGGGAAAACAAACTATAGGAAAACGGACACATGGGCAGCTGCAGTAATGAAGGGCAGCTGGGAGCGATGTGGAGAGGATGCATAAGGGGATAGGGAAGATAATCACCACATGGAGACCAAGATAAGACTGAAGCACCACCTGGAATCCTAGAAAACAATCCCCAAAGGGATGAAGAGATGTCGGCAGGTGTCCCGATACATAACACAAAAACCTCACCTAAAACATGACAATAACAACATAAAATAATATTAGGGTAACTAAAGAGTGGACACCACTCCCATTAGGAGACAAATCCACATAAAGGACGTATCGGCCCACCCTCAGTCCTCTATTCCGAGCCGGTTCAAGCTCCACGCGACCTCCCGCAAGACGAGACTCCTATGTTAACCAACATCAGTGCAGGAGAATGCGGAGAATAAAAAGATTTTAAAGATGATGAAATTCTACTTAAAAAAGCAGACTGTGAATAAAAAAGAAGATTATGGCTACTGAATTCCTATTAGCTTGATTTATGTTACTTAAAATTTAAGCATTCAATTTAGTCTTTTCTTTACATTAAATATGGTTTTGTGCAACCATAAAATTTCAAAATCTTACAACAAACTACTACACTAGTTTTAAACTTGAAATCATTAGTTAATTCATCTAAATAACAAAAATTTTAAGAAATTTTATTTACATGTTCACCTTCAAAATTTGCCTTCAAGATTATATATCGCATTTCTTTCATAATTTTTATCAAGTTTTGATTCAACCAACAAAAAACTCTATATTTTATAATTGTTAATGAATGTATGATTATATTTACAAATTATTAGCACAATAATTTATAAAAACACGGTTTCACTTTGCACATTGCTTGTTGAAAATAATGGGTACACAAACATGATAAAGTGATATCAATCTCAAAATGGAATAATAGAACAACTTCCTCTTATATGTTAAGAGGTCACCATTTTGACTCGCTAACCCAAACCATGACGCAAGACACGAATTTTTTAATAACTTAAGATGGTTACAACAATAACTCAAAAGAAAGAAAAATACTGTGCAACTCAAACATAAAACAAAATATTAAAATAAAAACTCAACACATAAAAACACAACAAGCTCGACGAGGAGGGAGTCCGGAGAGATGGTGTCAAAGCAGTGGATGGGGTGAAGGCCGGAGCGATGTTGGGTGAAAGTAAGTCAGCGCTCATCGAGGCGTTGAACCGCAGCAGAAATAAGCAGAGAACGTCGTTGAAGACTGGAATCTAGAGGCCGCAGGAAAGGCGGCCAAAGCCCAGGAACGGAGGCACGGATGGCGGTAGAAGCCGAGGAGCGAAGGCACGGACGATCGAAAACAACGAGCGGAGGTACGGATGGTGGAGGACTGCAGGAAGGCTGGGGGCAACAGTTGGAAGCGTTGGTAAGGCCTAATACGGACTACCTGCTGTGAGGGAGGCATCAGAGGTTGCAGATTGCAGATGGGAGTGTGTTGCAGCATTGAGAGGTGCGGGGTGGGGGTGTTTCTCAAAGAGCCTGCAGCCCGCTGGGGATAAGGCGGCAAAGGACAGCGAGGCAGATGAGCTGCTGGCTAGATGGTTGGACGGGCAGTGCAGGTTGCAGCTGCCTACAGGGGAGCTGTAGGTGGATCGGCACTGGTCTGGAAGGAAACTGGGCGGCGTCTACCTGCAGAGAAGCTGTAAGGGATAGTTGTCCGGTTGTATGGAAGTGCAGTAAAGGTGGGGAGGCTGCAATCCTACAAGGAAGCTGCAAGGGCTTAGTCGGAAGCTGAGGGAATAACAAGGTCTCTGGCAGCTGCAGGCTGGCAGGGAGGTGGTTGGTTGTGCTGGTGGAATGACGACAGAATATTAGACAGCAAGTCGAAATCGAGACAACAAGATAAACACCACGTCGGATGTGGTTACAGCTAGAGCATCTTCCTCGTCGTCAGTTACAACCCTCAAAAGGAAAGTATTCAGGCAAAACCGAATCTAGATTTCAAAACCAAGAACCATAACTCTAGAGACATCAACTCCTATTTATAAGAGACTTGACCCAATTTAGAAAAAAATTAAATTAAGAAAAGAGAATAAAAATAAAATAAAGATCTCAGATTTTTTTGGAAAGGTTTAAATTAAGGAAAATAAAATCAAAATTTAGGCTTTCTAGAAAGGATTTAAATTAGAAAAGGGTCTAGGAAGGAAAATAGAAAGAGGAAGAAAGGAAGGAAAATAGAAAGAGGAAGAAAGGAAAGAAAAAGGAAGGGAGAAAAAATGAAAGGAAAGAGAAAATAGGAGGCGGTGGGGCCCACCTCCAAGAGGACCGGTCCCCCATGAGGCCTACGTCATTCACTAAGTTTCTTAAAATCTAGCAAGATTTTAGAGCTAGCAAGCTTCAAAACCTCAATCTGGAAAAGTAAGTTCCTCAATGCTCAAAGTCTAGGATCTAAGTGGGTATAAGTAACTGACTCAAAGAACCAAATATGATTGAGTTGCTAACATCTCTCATTTATAAATGAGACATACAAATAATCATAGAAAGAGGATGCCCATTTTGTAAGTTTATGGTGAGAGCTATAAAGGTCTGAGCTTCTCCAATTTCATCAGCTCAAGTGGCACAAATAAAAAGATCTTAATGAATCAACAATTCAAGGTATGATCACGAAGCAGCAAGTTAGGCATCATTGCTATACGACTTGAGAACCAAATCATGAACTTTCGTTCCTTCAACAAGTCTACAGTTACCAAACAAGGACTAAATAAATATTCATAATTAGTTTGAAAACTTATTTAATACAAGGATATTATGGTCATCGTTTGTAATGCAAAGAATACTTTGGACATCATAAAAGAAATTTCATATTATATATAAAGGGTTCCTTAAAAGTAGTTTGAGAATGCATTTGTGAGTATTAAATGAAATGGTCATGAATTTCCAGTATTATTCTCCTCCATCTTCCTCCCTTGCATACCATTTTCTCATGCTACATTATTTTCTTCCCTATCCCACGCTCGCCTAAACAATTTCTTACCCTCAATTTACACTTAATACTGCTCTTCCTCATCCCTCAATATCTCTGTCTCTTTCTTTCATCCCAACTACTCACTTTCTCAATCTCCTACCTTACCCCACTCTTAACCACCCAGCCTCCTCAACTTTAATCAACCTGCACCCATCACTGTATTCCTCCGCCCCACAACAAAGAAGCCAGGATCTCATTGCAGCACGATGCTGTCAGTTTGTATTCCATAGCCTTACAAACCTTTACAGTAGCGTATTAATCAACATCAAACAAGTTTCAATAAGCAATTAAGAAATGATCAACAAACAATGAGTTCTTTCTCTGTAGGAATTAACAATAAAAACTGTGCAAGTAAAAGAAGGAAAAACAACAATAACAACTTTACCCTAAAATCCCTTCAGGGTCAAATGGTGCTTGACACCATGAAGCTGAGTTATCTGAGAAGTCGCCACCTTCAGTATTCTGACAAACCTAGCAATAAGGACAACGAACAAAAATTAGAAAATACATAACTTTGGCAAAAGCTGTAATCTAGGACGTCACTGAATAGACCTTTAGATTTCTGTAGAACGATTTCTTATATAGGTGTTCAATGCCAAGAACATAGCGATCAATCATTCCCACAGAGTTACATGCCGGTCCGAGATCACCTCTAACCCCACACTTAACCTAAAACCAATGAGCAAAAAGACTTCATAACGTTGACTTCAAGCAATAATCATAAAAATATAACTGGCAAAGAACCTGTGCAATGCATAGGAAAATTAATCTAATGAATTAACTTCGAGTGACCAAACCGATTAAAACCCATCTTGAAAACGTTGACAATTAAGAAAATAACCGCCTAGAAAGTTTTAGGCTACATGCATAAATCAATCTTCAGAAGTATGAAAGAAAGAAAGAAAGCAGAGGTAGAAAAGACCTAAAGCAGCTGAAAGATGAGCAAAAAGCATCCAAAAATTATAGGTGGTGCTTCACAATAGAAACCATTCGCCAAATTTATCCGAAATAGGGATGAGTGTTTCATAGCTCAACTAAAATGAGTCAAACTGGCCTAAAAATAAGCGAAATTAGATAAATTTTCAAGAATTTTAAGGCCAATCTATATTTTTTACTCAATTTCACAACTTTTACTTTAATTATTTAAAATGCAATAAGATAAAGATAATCTCATGTTTACTTCGAGAATTTGGATGAGGACGCCATCATCCTATCCTTAAGAGTATAATATTTTTTATAAATAAGATTGACTGTATGAACTTTTTTGATAGATTAAATTGTTAAATGAAAATGATGTTTCTTCTCCATTGATCCATGTTGTGTATGTGGAACATTCCAAATAATGTAAGCATCGTTCTCCTTTCTCCCCTCGTTAAGCTATTAGTGAGGCTTTCTTTTCTTCTTATTGACCCTTGTTGGAGCAAGTCATTTTCCTACCTACTCTTAAGTTTCATAGATGAAATTAAAGCCTAGATTGTCCCTTAGTTAACACTGAGACCCATATTTAACATTTTATGACCCTTAGATGGTGTACAAGGAACATTCTCAATATCTTATGATCTTTTGGGCCCCAGTTGAGCCCCTATCGCTCAAATTGCAAGATCCAGCACTTGATCAACTAAAATAAGTAGAATAGGGAATGACAGTATGTTGACGGCAGTAACCTAAAAGATAGGTGGGAGTTGGTATGCTGTCGGTAGATGGCAAGGAAGGGGATGCTAGAGGGCGGCAGTAGCTAGGTAGGGCTGCAAAGAAGATAAAGGAACGGTTGATAAAGTACATAAAGTGCTCTATTTCATGACATCCTCATATGTTGGCAATAAATGGGTTGGCGAGTTGTTTGCAAGGCACCCAACAAGATTTAGCAATATGTTTTGCATGACACAAGAGGTATTCACCGATTTGTTGGAGGAACTACATAGAAATCATGAACTTCGTGGCTCATCCAGAACAACTTTGCGAGAGGTGCTAGCAATAGCCCTCTATATATTATTGCAAAATGAATCAATGAAGTGAGCTATGAAGGGATTCAGCACCCATCTGAAATGACTTGCAGATAGTTCTCAGTAGGGTTGAATGCATTTATAAGTTTTTCTTCACATATCATAAAATCACAGATCCTACATTCGAACGAACCCTCACAGAGATTTCACACGATTAGCGGTTTACTTTAAGATAATTTCTTCCATTTATTACATTCAATTTTCATATAAATATCCTAATAAGGTAACTCTTCGTTATCTTTCTATAATTATATTGGAGTAATTGATGGAACACAGATTGATGCACGTGTTTCAAATAATGACAAAATCACATTTATCGGTCGTTGTGGGTTCCCAACACAGAATGTCATGTTGATATGTGGCTTCAACATGTGTTTCACTTTTGTCATGTCCAGTTGGGATAATAGTGCACATGACAAAACAATTTTCAAATCTACAATAAGGAATAACAAATACAACCTCTCACATCCACCCACAAGTTCGCTTGAGATTGAGCTACTCTCCTAATTCTTTTTTCCTTCAATATTAATCATTCAATTGATATGCATATATGACACACACGAACTTAGTATTATGTGGGTTAAAGACAACCAAGAACATTTTTTTAGAAGGTGTATTGTCTTCTTGTAGTGACAAATTTGTTGATTTATATACTGAGTTTTCTAAGATTTCACATTTGCATAAAATAATAATTAATTACTTATTTTATCAGTTTTTATTTGTGTTATTTCTAATGAGATGGATTTTAAACATTAAGAAAAGATGAGCTCGAGGATTTTGGGTAGCTCCTGAGGATTGCAATGTTACTGTAGACTTCAAAGTTCCCTGCAAACTTTACATCAGTCACATAGCTACGGGAGATAATTTTTCAAATGCCCGCAGAGAATCACGAAAAACAATTATTATTTTTGGTGGGCAAATAGGCAGAAAGTTTCCAACGCCGAGAGTGATCTCTAAAGAACAGCTTAGCTCGTGACATGTCTTCTGCATTTTAAAAATAATATGATCATATTATTAATTATTATTTTAATAGTCTTTTACTTAATTATGCTACTCACTTATTAACTATTATTTTAATAGTCTTTTACTTAATTTTAGTAATCATGCTACTCACTATTAAGTGAAGTATCTATCTTTATTTCATAATGTTTTGCACTGAATTTTTACTTTTAAAGTACAAAATGAATTAATATGAACAGTTCTGTTACAAACAGCATTACCATACAAAGAAAGAATGGTCATTTGTCCAGAAACAGCTACAGCACAGTTAAACAGACAATCAGCTTATCCTCAGCAGCTGGGCAGCAGCTTATTATTAAGCTGCAGCTACTCCAAACAGACCCTTAGACTTCTATGACAATTTTTGGATAACTCATGTTTCATTTGCATAATGAGAAGTAGTTTATGAGAGGTTTATAAATTTTGAGGCTAAAATTTTTTTAAGTGGGGAAGGTTATAATGTCCGGTTTATTTTTCTTGTAACGCCAACGAGCATTCAAATCAACTCTTACAAAGAAATCGAGAGGCAAAGTAGAAGAACAAGTGATTTCCAAGGCGAAAGAAGACGATGGAAAGATAGGACTGGCAAACTTTTATGAACAAGCTTGATTAAACATCAAAATCGTTGAATGAAGGCGATGACACTGGCAACCAAGCCCACGAACGTCAAAGCCAAGCAACGAACGATCATCCAACGTTGTCGAGCGGCTTGTTGGAAAATGGGGGACGACCTACGTGCAGTGTGAATTTGCATAAAATGGGACGTGAGCGTCATGTGCGTCTTGTGTGTAGGAGTAAATGAGGCTCTCATGAGGGAGAGCAACAGCGTTAGAAGGTTGAAGCTAAGCAAAGTGATGCGAACAAGAGATGAAGAAGTTGGAGCAAAGATTAAATACTTATCAAGTGTGAATTCGATCGTGCAGGGAATAGGAGGTGAAATCGAGAGCAGATTTCAAACAAGTATTCGGGTTAGTGTAAATGAAGCCAAGCAGTTGTTGACCTCATTTTTGAGGTCATTACTCATTTCCTTAGAATTCTAGGATGAAGCTCTAAGGGTTTTTATTGACTATCCTAGAAAACTAGAATTGGGACCCACCCATTTTTAGAAATTCTAACTATTTCTTATTTTCCTGTGACGTCTAGCATTTATGGTCTCAAAATCATCGTCTTATGGACGAGCGGTTAAGGGCTATTGTGTGGAGACTCAGGGAGAAGTTCCCAATAGGATTTCAAACCCTAGGAAAACCTCGTCATGACTTTATCGTCACATACACACACTAAATGCACAAAATTCACTAAATTGCACAAAATCGGACTTCAATTGAATCTAAAGGATGGGTGAAAATGCAAACTTCTTCAAACGACATCCGATGACAAATTGGACTGCATCAACGCGTTCGGGACACCAATTTTGGTAGGAAAAGACACTCATATTGTCATATTTCTGACAAGAGAAAATTTGCACGCAAATCAATGAATTCGTCAAAATGACCTCTGACGGTGAAACGGACCGCACCAGCGCGTCCGGAACATCAAGATTACCTAAAAAGGGCATTCAATTTTCTACAAACTGACACACGAATAAAAATGCATAAATCAAATTTTATTTTTGAAATAAATAAATATTTTTATATTTAGATCATATATTATAATTTTAATTTTAATCCAAAACCCTAAACCCTATTTCACCGCACGCGCCTCCCTGCTGCAGCTCTCGAACGCGTCTACTGGTTCGATCGCAAGCCCTAACAGGCGCGACTCGTGGCTCGCCCCTCTTTCCCGAGCCTAATTCATCGTCTCCCCTGCCATTCGCGCATGAGGTGGCTCGCCTTCCTCTTCCCTCACACGCGGTCCATTCGCCCACGCCACCATTCTGCTGCCATTCGTGCACGCGGCTCGTCTCCTCGACCTCTGCTCGACTGAGCGGCTTTCCAAGAGAGAAATTCCACCTGGCCGGCTCTTCCTCTGCCTTAGGCTGCATTTCCTCCTGCCTTAAGTGCTCCTCTTCTCCCTTTACCTAATTCGGCTACCAATGAGGCTGGTAGGTGGCTGATTCTTCCCCTCTCTTCTCTGCCCATAAAAATCTTCTTAGATTCTCTGTGTTGGATTGTTGAAAATTTTGAGAGTGAAGGGGAGGTTATGTTTTCACTGTTTGAAGCTTTTAGAAAAGAAAATTCTGTCAAAATCCTTTCAAACCTACGTTTTCGTGCGCTGAGAGTGTGGAGCATTCGTTGGTGGCTATTTCTCGAAGCTTTTAGGAGGAAAGACCTGTTGAAATTTCTTCTTGGCTAGTTTTTTTTGTGTGCTGGGAGTTTAAAGGATTTGTTGGTTGCTACTTCTTGAAGCTTTTGGGAAGAGGATTTCTTTGGGAGGCATTTTATTAGATCTGTCTTACTTTTTTTTTGTTTTAAGTCGGCATTAAGAGGTATTTATCTTCCTTCCTCTGATTTGCAACGTTTCTCCACTTGGTGGATTTGAGGGTTTGCATCTTTATAAGGTGAATGTGCACGGGTGTGGTATTCTTCTGTTTCCTAACTCTAAGGCATGGTTTTATGCATATTAAAATATGATGCGTTGCTTGGATTGGGACATTAAGCTGGTTTATTTTGTTTCTTTAAAAAAAAAAAATTGTAATGTTAAAGCTTTTCTTATACATATTTTGTTCAA